CGGTGAAGACATCCAAGTTATCGAAAACATGCACAAAGTCAATGTTACGCAACAGTTCAGGTAAAAAAAATTTTTTATATTTATGACTAGTGTGTTTTATTGAGTAACTAACTTTGCTTTTGTGTTTTTCAGGAAACTTTTCATTCAGAGAGAAAATGTATCTCTTCAGGAGCGACGTTTGGATTATGAAACCAACGGTGTGATAGCTTGCAGAGGCTGTGGCCAGGTACACATATTGTATGGTTTATAGATTCGCTGTGTTGGGCTTTGTTAAAGGAAAGCTCTTTTCTGTATAAACTCTTTAAATAACACTTCATAAAGTACATGTATTAAATAACCATGAGACATGAAAACATAGTTTGAAGAAATTGTAATCTTACTCAGACCAGAGAAATTGCTTAGGTTTAAAGATGGCAGCGCTTACCAACCATGAAGTGGGCCCTGAATCACAGTTGAAGAAGTATTTTATACAACTCCAGAATCACAGCCTGCCACATCCTCACAGATCACATTACATGTTGCATGTTTGCAAGGTGGAAACATCCAGCTTCATTAAAATAATACCATTTTCTTTGGTCAAGGTCATTCTGAATGCCCATTGAGAGATTGCTTGCTATTAGGATTCATCCACTCTGCCTGTAATCTCTGTTATGTGCATAATGAACATAATAACTACATATTCTGTCAGAAGAACTGTCCTAATTAGATGAACTGCTTGGAAAAACATTGGTTAAGATGTGTAACAGGCAGGTAATATTAGGGTTTAACAGACTCCCACATCATCAATAAAAATAATCCTTGCAGCTTTAAATAAAGATTCATGCTAAAATCCTCATACCCATGAATCCCTATTTCATATTGTCACATTAACATCCAAAACAGTAATTTGCTTTATTGGGATTTCCTATGGACGAATGAAAAACTCAATTTTTTTTTTTTTCTTTTTAGCTTTTTTTCCATGATGCATGAATCATTTTCATCCCCAAGGAAACAACTGTAGGTTTGGTCTACCAAATACTAAAGAAATGTAAACCCCTGAATTTGAAGAAAGACTTTAGAAATGCTAAAAACCAATTCTTACAGTTTGGACATTTAGCAAATAGAAGTGACAATGCTAATTGTATCTGATTTATACAGGAAGCGTTAGGTCTGACTCATTGTCAGACAGTGAGGGGAAAAGAAAACATGTGTCCTTTTATAGTCAAATCAAATATCTAGAATATAGCTAGCTATTTTACAAAACACAATTTTTAAATTGCAGAGGCACTCAGTTTAGTTCAGGTAACATTTATCAGGAGGAAGACAATGACTTATGAGTTATGACAAGCTAGCAGAAGGATTTACAGATCTGAGATAGATTCAGAAATACTTTTTAAGTGCAGCAGTTTGTCCTCCTGGGTTTTGGATGGAAATATTTGTAAAATAAGCTTTAAATGATAAATCATCTTCAGCGAGCTACCATTTTTCTAACAAACTTCCCTGAACAGAACCATTTTTACTGAAATTAAAGTAAAGACAGGTGGCTTTTTTTTACTTCTGAGATCCTTTGCAGCTGAAGCGCTAGATTTTCTTTTGGTAAGTCTAAGATTTATGAGCTAAAAACTGCTAAAATCAGTTGATGTTTGAAATTGTAACATAGAAAATTGAACAATGATTAGGGGGTATGAATATTCTTTCTAGACAACGTATATATTTCTCCTGGTAAGAAATATAAAAAGAATCACATTTTTGAATACTTTCCATTATATCATAATATTGACATTGGCTAAAATGTGCTCCACTTTTGTTTTAACTTGTGTTGCAGACATGGGGTTCAATGATGATGTACCGTGGAATTGACCTGCCGTGCCTCCACGTGAAAAACTTTGTGGTCAGTATAAATGGGAAAAAGCACAGCAACTACAGCAAGTGGAGCGACCTCCCCGTTAAGTTTCCTGCCTTCGACTACATTGAACACACCAGCCAGATGGTGCAGAGCTCGGATGATGAAGAAACAGAATGAACCCAACAAATCAGTGTACTTATTTGAGCTGTGGCTTAGTTTTTCTTCTGATAATGCAATTGGCATCCTCTGCAGAATGCATAGATGATGGCCTCTTTTACTTAAGTTAGTGTTTTTATTGATTTCAAGTGCACTTTTTTTCTTTTTTGGCACTTAGGTGGGGTAACGCTTCATTTTATTTTATTCCGAATCGACTGACAAAAACAGTAAGGATTACACGCTTTTCAGAAATCATTGCTTTCCCATGAGATGGGAGGCAGTGAGCCTGTGATTGCCCCTCAGAGCCCACCTGTCAACTCAGATGCACACAAACAGCTGCTGTTGACTCTCTTTAAATCACCCATCAGTGAGTGACTCACAACTGTTGAGACTGAGCTATTTAAGGAGCCAACAGTTTAACCTATGTGTCTACATCCCTTTAGTTGACCTAATCGATTGAGCAAGTTTTAATGATCTTTCAGGTTTGTACAAATGAGCACTTTTAGTTGAGAGGGGAAAAAAAGCTCAGAATAAAATTGCACTGAAATTTCTGTAAAAGAAAGTAAAAACAAAGATAAGCACTTATAATTGAAAAAAAAAATTATCCACACAGTGCACTTTACGTATAATATGGAGCCTCTGAGAGTGTCTTGAATATGTGTGACGAACACAAAAACGTTTTTTTTCTTAATAATGTTTTGAAATGTCAAGTTTTCCCCACAAATGTATTGAACTACTCCCTCTGCTTTGTTCCATCACCATCCTGTTGTCAGGAATTTATCTAGTTTTATATTTTATATGAATGCCCTCCATATTTTAAGAGACAGTGAACCATGACATTACAAACTGAAGATAACACACATTATCTAAACTCACAAGAAAAAACAAATCTTTATCTTGCAAGAAGAGAGGTATTGTTGAAGTTTTTTTTTTTCTTTCATTTACAGTCTTCAAACTGCCCTCTTAGATTTAAAAAAGACTCTTATGGTTCTTATATATAATAGAGTCATATAAAATAAGCCTGCATTGTAACCTAATTTCGGTTTAGGTTGTGGGACTGTTTCTGGAATAATGTTTAGGATTGAATGAAAGCTTAAGAGGAGGCGTTTATTGTTTGATTGAGAAACTCCTTTTGGACTTTTAAGGAAATATTTATCTGGAATAAAACAAGATAATACAAACATTGTCTTTAAATTGTTATTTTTTAAGTTTTATTTTCTTTCCTCATTAAAGTATTGATTTGGCTTTTGTCTATTTTCTTTATATTGAACAACCAATATTAGGGTAATTTGAGTTGTTATACTGAATGACCACAATTTAGTAATGCATAAAAGTGGAAAAAAAATTTTTTTTTTTTTTTATGTTGTTTTACAATAATGTATAAATGGGGTTTGCATCTGTATTGAATACCTTTCTTTTGTTGATACGCCTAAATAAAATCCTGATAACCAACTTGCTGCCAAAATCATATCAGTATTAAGCTCTAAGTTTGAAAATAATTGTTTTGTGAAGGTCTCTGTAAAGAGCTTTTTTTTTTTTTTTTTTTAAGAAAATGGGGGCACAGGAACCATCATAAAGACATTGGCATGCAGACTATTTAGGGATACATTTAAGCTTAGACAGGGGTCAGGCTCTAAAAAGAACATCTCAAACTTTGAACATTACTGTTTTGATGATTGAGATGTTTTTCATCTGAAAATGAGGAAAAATGGCACAACTGCAGATGTACCAAGAATAAACCAACATCCGAGGCAAGGAAAGCATTATTCAGAGCTCAATTGGAAATATGTGTGTCTGTTCGTCATGCACTCCCCTAGGAATTGTTGATTATTTTGGTAGCCTTAAGTTTTCCATTAGTCAAACTAAAAATGATAGTTTTAGGGAATTAACATTTTAAAATAAACATATATATATACTTAATTGAATTACACCTGTATGAATATGCAAATATAAATCTAATTTATATAGAAAGAAACAATTGGACCCTTAATGACATTTTTTTATATATATATTTTATGTTATCTTTCAGCAGATTGCATGGTTCTTAGTCTGTGTACCTTTACTCTAGCTAACAATTCGATTTGATTACCAAATTAGTTGACAATTTCAATAATCGAATAATCTGATAAGTTGTTTATGCCCTATTCTCCACAAATTGTAAATGAACTGAATTTATTGCTTTTTCTAGTCAAAGGACCACTAAAAAAATATCTCAAAAGAATTTAGCTTCAACTTAAATGAATTGCTTAAATTGGTAACATTTGATTGAATTAAGTTTAGGCAATTTAGCTTTTTTAAATTTTATTAAATAAGAAGTTAAACCATATTGAAATATTGTTATGATAAACCTAATTCAGTTACTTTTTATCGATTGAAGCAATTTGTTGAGGTTGGAGCTGTATTTTCTTTTTAGAGTGTGCATTGTCATATTGAGCCACTAACACAATCACGTTCATTAACGAATATCAAGTGACAAAAGGAATTTGGAAGCAAATGTACAACTTTGGGGTTTCAAGTTGACTACTTTCTTTTCCAGCTGGAAGATCTTTTATTCAATTTCTTCTGCAGAAAGAAAGCCATCGATGAAACAAACTATAAAAAGTCTAATTTACTTTACTCTGAACACTCCATTCCCCTGGTGAAACACAGTGGTGGCAGCATTATGCTTTAGGTGTATTTTAGTAGCAATATACATGCAGTCATTTACAGATAAATATAGAACAATCTTGCATAAAAACATTAAAGAAGCTTCGAAATACTTGGAACTGGAACATAATTGCTATTAACGTGAGAATGGATAAAAGAAGTACATCTAAATAAATAAAAAAGACATTAAATTAATTCTCACATATGTTCTCTACATTTTACTTTGAAAACTGTCTTGAATTACCATACACAATAACATCATATAAAGTTAATGTGGATGTTTTAAGGTGACAAAGTGGGTATTAATATTTTGTAATTGTACCTCTAGGTAAATAACTTTGGAGACAGAGCCGGCTTTTCCTGCTTTACCGCGCCAGTTGCGCTCTGGGTAAGGAAGAAGCCACTTCCTTTAACCAGCGGCTGCATAAAGTTGTGCGCTCCTGGAAAGTTGTCCTCCGGACTCCAAGCAGCTTTCTAGCGCAGTGTGCGGATGCGTCAGGGCTGCCTCTAGGTATGCCCAGGCAAGGATAGGAATCTTCGGAGCTCAGCTTCATGTAATTGAATTATAATTCAGTGTTGGCGGTAGTTCTGCGAGGGAGAGTATGCTGAGCAGGCTGCGTGTCCGAGGTGAGACTGCAAACCGCGACTTCTGAGGAACATTACGCGCAGCGCAAAGCGGCAACTTCATCTCCATCATGGTCAGTAAACCATTTAAACCCCACGCTAGATCTGTAAAAAAGAATATATCAAAGGAGTGTTGTTATTGAGTGTGAGATGTAAATAATAAGAAAGCTCCAAAAAAGGATACTGCAGCGTCAGCTTGCCTTTTTTTCCCCCTTTCTTTCTTTCAGGGCTGCAGTAACAGGCTGAAGTTGGGAGTGATAGGGGCGGCTGTCGTCATCACGTTAATAACAATACTAGCAGTTTATTACAGCAGTAAGTTCTGATTCTGAAATGTCCTGTCTGTTTCTGGGATGCATTAAGACTTAATCCATTTGCCAGGGTGACAGACCCTTTCCCCTCCTTCTATAGGCACTTTAGGGGTTAAATTATTCCACTGTGAAATGAGAAACTGTTCCAGAGTGAACACAAGAACTCTGGCATTTTTTGGGATCTAAGATACTCAAATAAATCTTTAAAAAAAAAAAAAAAAAAATCCAGTTCTTTTTTATTCAGGGTAAGAATGTGATGCACAATGTCCATAGCAGTTCCACTGTTGTATGGGGCCTTAGGGAAATTTGATTTAGGGCCCCTTTTATAGGAAGAAAAATCCAAGAACATACATTTTCAAAGTAAGACCAGTCTTACAGTATAATGCTTGCACTTAAAACTTCTGCTTTCTTTTTAATGTACATGGATACAAAAAAATAGAAAGGCTCAAACTCTCCAGTCTAAAACAGATCAACCCAATTACATTGTGGAAGATGGTAGTTTATGCTTGTGCAAGAATTATACATAATCTAACAGCTTTTTTCTGTAACCACAACAGTCAGAATTGTAGCCATATGCTCTATAATATGTGAGTAATGAGCTATATGGATCTTTAAACTTTCAACTGGCTGCTATAAGAGGTTTACTTTTTTAAAAATGTTTTTGCTTAACATCCATAGGTATCTGACTGGTTCTAATCTGTTACCACTGTCTCTGTTAGTCCAGTCCTTTTCCAACCTTTGAAACTGGGCTCTGTCAGCTCCTTTCCAGTTAGTCTGTCTGGCAAGGCTAAGTGAAAACAAGAGCACACCAGCAAAGATTATAACCTTGCCAGCTGCACACTGCCATTCCATCAGCTGGAATGGTTGATTTGTGATGATACCAGTCCAACCTGTATACAAGCAAAAAGAATCCACAAGCAGTGAAGAGTAAGTTGCAAAAGGACATTATGGATCTGTGCACAGAGCAAAAGGAACAAGCCAGAAGACAAAGTACCTTTGCAATATTTAATATATTTAAAGTTGATTCATGTTTTTAGTGCAAACATTACACGTTTGCACTCAAAAGTTTAAGCAGAAGTTTTGACCGTAAGCACATCAAGATTCTGCTCTTAAATTAAAAAAGTGAGCTCTTAAATTATGACAGAAACTGCCTCCTGTAACCTCTTTCTGCAAAGAACATCAACAGTTCCATTGCAGAAGCAGAAGACTCTAGAAGAGGGCTCCAACTTAAAATAAAATCATGCATAATTGATTATTATTTAAGATGAATCTGTGAAGAATCAAAATTTAGTTGCATGAAAATGTTAAACTTGTAAAGAATAGTCTTTGCTCTATTATAAAATAAATGTTTATATTTGGCTGTGCTCAGGAAGTGGGTATGATCAGAGATGTGTAAAGCTGAGAAACCTTGGTATTGGTACTGAAAAAGCAGAAATGAAAATGTTTGGAAACTTCGTGTTGTCGAGCTAAGCCAGGTGGAGCCTCAAACACCAGTGAGGTGAACAATAGGGTTACATTTTTAACACCATAAACATCAGATTTTGGTTTAAAAGAACTTGTGCATGTTCTCTGTCCAGGACCGGGGGCCCCCAAAAGACCATTCACTCTTCAGGATTACTTTAATGACACCATCAGAAAGAAATCCTACAATTTGTACTGGCTATCAGGTACAGTAATACTGTTTGATGAATTGTCTCTCTTGTCATGCTGGTTCCATTATTCCACAAAACTTTGCAGGTTTTTTGGTTAATTTTTTTATTTTTTTTCCTTCTCTTAACGCTGCAGATACGGAGTATGTGCATAAAGAAAGAGATGGGAATGTTTATCTCTACAGTGCTGAAACCAAGAACAAGTCCCTGTATTTGAGCAATTCAACATTTGTAATGCAGCAACTCATTCTTAAATATCAATTTTACCAAAAAGATTTTTAATCCATTGCTAATATTAAAGCTATTATACCTATTTTAACTTCAGGCCAAAGTGGATGCCACTGACTACTGGCTGTCAGGGGATCATAAATACATTGCCTTCGAAAGCAATTACACTAAGGTAAGCAGCCCCCAATGGATGTTTTATGCTGTATGTTTGCCATATCAGATTTACAAGTATAAAACATTTTCTGTTTTAAAATTCTACAGAAATTTAGACATTCCTACTCTGCTTCATATTCCTTCTATGACATGGAGAAATCGTAAGTAGACATTGCTTTGTGACTTGCAGCTGTGTAAAAAAAATTGCCTAGGGATCCATTTGAGGGTTTTAATATAGGCAACAAAACCTACAAGAATAGAGGAGAAACATAGAATATAAAAAACTCAAGAGAAAGGAAAAAATGTTCGGTTGTACATAAAGGGAGAAAGTTTGATCTCTTTTAAATAGCAAAAACCTGAGATTTATATTGCCTTGTCTTTGATATTTGAGACCCACTTCAGTATTTTGCAGAGCAGTCAAACAGACACCACATGGTAGCACAAGTCACTGAGAGGAGCAGCCCGACTTCCACTAGGAATTGTGCAAAGACTTTAACTTTGACACTATCCATCAATGAGTAATAATCTTTAAAATGTATTTTTCAGTGACAAACATTATAGTCATTTGCATAGGTTAAAAAAACAGTAAAAGAATCACTAAACAGAGTACACAAAATGATGAATGGGTAAAACTATTATAAAGACTATAAAAGCACACTTAGAGCGCAGACCTCCAAAGCAGCAAACACCTATAGCTACAACTCACACATGATGTGGATCATTACCGGATTTTAATGAATTGTTCTTTGGCATGAAGAGCTTATTTAAAAGTTTATGAATAAGGCACGTGTGCCTGCAGCCTCTGGTGTTTGTCCTGCTCTCACCTTCTTTATTTACTCTTCTTTCTTGTTTGATCAGCAGATCTTAGAGCGAGGCATGGCTCACCTTTCCTTCAGATAGTAGAAAGTTTTGTCCTCAGTATAACACTTCTGGACTTTTTTGAGTCTGACGCTGAAGTTGTCTCTTCTCACTACTGCTTCTCTCTGGTTAAGGGTGGAACTGCTTGTTTCCCCAAATAATATTAAAGAATCCCAAAAAAAAAAAAAAAAAATGCCCCCATCCTGATTATAATCTGGATTATGACCAAAATTTCTTGAATTGCTGAAATGAAGTTTTTTAGTGTCAAGTAAAAAACAACAATACCTAGAAGTACATCAAATTATAAAAACATTTTATTAAAATCGTATGCACACTACCAATTTGTTATGCCACATGTTTTCTGAATCCACAATTTTTGACTAGTGCATTTACTGTATGTTATTAATACCTCAAATATTAGTTGTGTGGAAGAAAAATACAATCATGCCTTTGTATATGAGTGGTTGTAGTGCCTGCACTAAAACACTTGAATTTCCTAAAAATGCTAACTTCTTTTGAGACAACTTTTAATCTAGCTTTATTTGTGTTTCTCTCCTATCTTGTCATTCACTTGACAAAAAAATCCTAGATGTATTTAGCTTTTTTGTATTTAGGTTTTTCTTTCTTTTTGTTGTGTATATTGCAACTTTATACCTTCTGGGTTACTTTAAGCTCCATGCAATAACAATTATTTTTCTAAATGTGTTTTTATTTCTTTTCAGAACATTTGTAACACCAGTGAGCCTTCCACGTGTGTTGCAGTACTTTACCTTTGCACCAAAAGGGAACCAATATGTGAGCCTACAGTCTTTGTTCTTTAAGATATAACCTTAATTAAAAACAGTGATATATAATGATTTGAAAATATGGCAATATTTTTTACTGTGTGTAAAAATCTGCTTATAGTCCATTCATTCAAATTTTGAACTAAACCTTTTGCAGAAACCTTTACAAAAATAATTTATAGATTCTACTCTCTTCTACTCTGCAGGCCTACGTCTCAGACTTCAACATCTTTTTAAACTCTAATGTGACTGCTCAGCCAGTACAACTGACACATAACGGGAAAAAGAATGAGATTCTCAATGGCATCCCTGACTGGGTTTATGAGGGTAAGTAAACTTGGTGTTAATATGCATGAAAAAAAGTTCTAAGTCAAAAGCCACCAAATTTCTTTTGTTTTACTATCCCAATCCTGGGTTCAACATGGGTCAACCTGACCCTTGATTGTTTTAACTCCACAAGTTCAACTAATTGCAGACTAATTGCACATTTTACGACTAACAAAATGTTGGTGAAAAATGTAATATTATACTGTAATAAAGATGAGTCTGACTTAGCAATATGATGATAAACATTATCATTAGGCACAAGAGGAAGATTTCTATTTCATATCTGCAATAAAAAATCATAACATTAAAAAGATAAAGACAACAGT